TTAGTTTCAGTTTTATCTCTTCTTAGTATATTGTATAGATTTTGAAAGCTACCTTTAATATTTTATGAAAGTGAGCATTAGAGTTTTGAGAAAAGCGAAGCTTTGACCTTTCACTGTCACATGTCCTCCAAGTCTAGGGCCCGCTGTGTTCTTTAAGCTGCCTCCATTGGCAGACTACACTCAAGATTTGCTCACTGTTCCCTCTGCAGGCTTTTTTTGTACTGATAAAATGATGTTTTTCCGCCTTCCCCAGGGAAGACATGAAACATGGTTGCTGCTGCTTTTGTTTCTGCATATCACTTGTGCTATGGTCTTTAAGCATATAAATTTTAATATAAATTTTAAGGCTTCTTGAAAGTATTAGATTCTGTGAGCTTAATGTTTTTGATGACTCATATTGTCACTTGGTTCCTTGGGTGATTTAGTACAAGATCTGAACTCTTCTCTGAAATGAACACACTCTTTTAATAAAAAAATGAAGTGTTTACATAATTATTTTGATAGGAGTTGACAGTAAAGCAAAAATTCTGATATGTGCTAGTACTAAATATTGTCAGTAAACTCATTTCTTCTTTGTCTGAAAAGACTTCTTACTTAAATGGCATTGCAGAGATTCAATATATTCTGTGGGTAGCTTTAGCATTCACACTTTTGAATAAATAAGATGAATGTAGGAAAATTGTTTTTATTAAGTTATCATTCATTCACTTGTCCATTTATTCCTGCAGTCAGTAACTATTCAGTCCATTGTACTATTATAGATACTAGAAATACAGTGATGAAAATTCAAAATCCCTGCCCTAGTGAGAGTTATATTCTAGTCAGGAAAGGCAGATAATAAACACATAAATGAACTAATAAACACCGAAATGAGATAATTTCAGAGGTAGCTAAGTATAGTGATGACTTCGATTAGGGGAATCAGGGCAGGCCAAGGATATTTGATATGAAATCCAAATAAGAGAGGGAACCACTCATGCAAAGATCTGGGGAAATAATCCTCCAAGCAAAGGAAACAACAAGTACAAAGAATCTTAGATGGAAACAAGTTTGTGTACTCAAATTCCAGAAGTCTGGCATGGTTTCAGATGTCAGAAAAGGTAAGCCAGGATGATAAGAGGCAGGCAGAGAGCAGGTCACTTGGAGTCTTTAGCTGCCTATGCCTAGTTTGCACCTTGAGGAAGTCACTTAACATGTCCTGGCCTCAGTTTCCCTTTCTCTAAAATGAAGAGAATGAAAGCTACCCCAAAGTCTTGTTTGTGAAGATTTTGTGTGTTAACCAGTATCAAGTACTTGAAAGAATGTTTGCACTTAGTAAGAACTACATATGGTATCTGATATTATTATGTATATATGCATGGTACAATTTCTCCCTAGCTAACAATTTATTGCCTTGATAGAATTTTAAAGCTAGAATAGATGTTGGAAATTATATCCAATCCCGACATTTTACAGATGAAGCTTTAGCTCAAAGAGGTCAAATGGCCTACATGAGTTCCCACAACTAGTACATAAATGTTTAGACTGGAATCTTAGTCTCTTGACTCTCAAGCCAAGAGTTTTCTACTATTAGATGGTATCGGCCTTTAGTTATCAACCTAATGGCTTAGAATTTTTTTCCTTAGCCTTTGCCTTATAAAATTATATTTAGAACAGTATTATTGAACCTGAATTTTTTTGTAGAGACTGAAATGGTTACCATATTGGTAGTGAATTTACAAGCTAATGATTCACTAACTGTAAGATATTTAGAAGTAATTAGAATTTAAGATTATTCTATTTCAACTAAGATTAAACATAGATTAAAATATCCCACTAGTAGCTCTAGCGTTTATACTTTTTGAATAAGATGGATATAGGAAAATAATTTTATTATATCATTCATTGATTCATTTGTTCATTTCTTTAATAGCTTCTCGTTGCCCTATACTATTCTAAGTGAACAATGTGAAGTCCCTACTCTAGCAGGGGAAGCAGAATATAAACACATGAATAATTGAATAAATAACTGAATAAAGGTAATTTCAAGGCAGTCTCCCAAATATTTTAAAATTGAAAAATTAGGAAATCAATGATTTGAATATCATTATGATAGACAAGAATGTTATCAATAAAATTGGAAGAGACAATCACACTTTAGTTAACTCATTTAAACAACTTACTTTTTAAGCTTCAGTTCTTAAGCCTCACTACCTATCAATAAACTAATTAATTGGTCACATAAACTCAAATGCGATTACACACATGGTGTTACTGAATGGTGGGGGTTATGTTAATACACAGCATAAAAATTTGCTAAAGCATCACTATATAAGACTAAAATTATTTTACACAAAATATATGATCTGGTGGTTCAGAGTAATTTAAAATTTTAATGTGTCTCTTTCTATAACATTATAGGTTTTTCAAGGCATAGTAAAAATGATTCCTGGGATAGTTTTTTTTTTTTTTTGCCTCTTTATAGGAAATCTCTTACTTAGGGAAGGTTTTGTTTCAAAAGTTCATTTTTAAGCCATTTTGAACTCATTAGCTATAGAAGCGGTGCTTAGCATGATGGTTAGGTTTAAATGCTAGTTCATGGAAGTTTATTTCCTTGTTCTTAAAGCTGAAAGGCCAAATTTCTGTTGTTCCCCTGAATTCTGGCCCAATTTGGTTTGGAAGGAGTAAGCAGAGGACATGCATTTTTCTCCAACTCTGAGCTCAGAATTGGACTGAGTGCCTCCTTCAAAACTGGAGATTTTCCTTTGGTACCCTCCTGTTTTCCTTTCTACTCCCCTGCCTCCACATAGCACCCTCTTTTTAGGCCTCCAGGAGGTTTTATTTTTCCAGTCAAAGCTTTGTGTGCCTTATTTTCTGTTTTCCATCTTTTGGAATAATACCAGAGTTGATCATTGAGTAAACAATATGGACATTTGATTTTCAGTGTGACAAACAGATAATTCACATTGTTGGAATGATTTCTTCGAACTTTTGTTCAAAGACCTGTTTTTAGGGTCCAAGAACTTATTTTCTCAGAGTTACCCACCTTTACTCCCTAACAACTCCCTCTGTTCAGTCAGAGCTGCAGTTGACTGGTCCTCAAATGTTCATGGAATGTTCTTGTTTCTTGCTTTGAGATGGTATATGGGGTTTGCAAATCTATGAGATTTCACTCAGCGCAAGCTTAGTCCTGAAAACAAAGGCTGAAAAATTATAGCAATATTATCTGATTAGTTTGGGTTCGCCCTGCTTTTGGCATCTGCTTTATTCTTTATATTGTCTTTGTGCACTTTGCTGTCACTTTAGAGAAATATACTACATGAGATCCTAGCCTAAGCAAAAGCAAACAGAAGCAGTTAAGTATGTCCCCACTCCACTGTGAAGGCAGTACATAGGTCTGCTGCCTGCCAAAAATAGATATAGTTTATAGTATATTCAACTCCATTGCTCATATTTTTTCATTTCCTCTTCCCAGCTGAATAAATGGGGGGAAAAGAGAAAAAAATTACTCCCATAAAAAGTACATTTTCCCCTCTATGTTCAATTACGGAGGGACATCTATAAACACAGGCATAAAGCCCAGAGGAAAGGAGATATTTCCGAAACGTTGTCTGATAGTCACTTCAGCTTCCAAATAGAAATTGTTTGGAAATATATTTAGGACATATAAGCAGAAATATTGACATATGGTATGTGATATTTGGCTGAGTTTGTGGATGACATATGAGCCTGCCTGAAGGAGCTTTGCAGGTAATTGTGTAACCTAGGAAGAGACTGATTGCTAGAAACACGGACATTCAGGCATCTATGAAAACTTTCTGATCATATAGAAGAATTTATTTGGTGGTTAAATCATAAGACTGTAACTAATACAAAATATGAATACAATTAATGAGACTTTTATAAATAGCTAAACTATTCAGTTTTTGTTCTTATAGTTTCCAAAAGATGCTACTTGCTGGGCCTCAGGGAGCCATGGCAAAATGTGACCTTGGTCATTACCTACAGTTGAATCCTTGTTTCCAGGCTGCTCAGGGTATAATATTTATCTGTTCATTGCACTTTTACCTCTGAAGAATGTGTCACATGCTCATAGCATGTTTAAAGAATAAGGCACATAGATTTATGTGAGAGAACAAGATTTGCAGCAATACATGCTCAAACCTGTATTTATTTGAAAAGGAGAGTTTTGAAGAGATAAGATCGTTTGTTACATGCACATTGGATTTAAATTTAGAAACTTAGTGTCTGTTTCTACTTTTGCCATCTAGTTTTATGAGTTTAGATAAGTGACTTAATTATTCTTTATTTATAGATCGCAAATATGGGAGGGTTGTCTAGTTGATTTCCAATGTATCCCACTAGGTAATTATTTGGATAACAATCTCTTTATTATGCTAAGAGTATTGGCTGAAATATCTACAAAATTATATAAAATGTAAAAAAAGTATTTTAATAATTGTTTTTTTTCTACAATTATTTTTACCTAATGTGACACCTGCAGATTTTTCTGTATTTATAATTTTGGAGTCAGGCAAAAAGATGTCACCCTTCTACTGTAGGCATATTAACAATTGATTCTTGAGGGACTATCTTCATCTAGCAGCTCTGTAGCCACTTGTATAATTATCAGGAAAAAATAAAAAAGAACTTAATGAATGGAGGGGCTAGCTGGAAGTTGTAATCATAGTTAAGAGTAATCTCAAACGAATGGCAAAAATCTTTGAGACAGGCAAGAGCAGGGAGACATTAACACTTTAAGGCCTGCAGGGGTCAAAGGAGAGAGTGAACAGTGGAATCTGTAGAGAGATTTGTAGGTAGCTGTACCTGTAGGAGAGGGTGTCTGACCAGAGCTATGAAATCCAATGGGAAAATCTGGCCACTTTCCAGCAGGAAGAGAGTCATAGGGAGAAAATAAATGCACTAATCCCTTTCTCCACTGACTCTCCAATCTCTTTCCAGTATCTGTCACTAGTGAAATTCAAGCAGAAGCCAGAGGCCAAGGAAGCCAGAGGAATGCAGTCTGGTCAGGTCAACCTCCAAAGGCCCGTAACATAATAGAAAAGGATCAAGAGTGATTTTGGAGAGGCAAATAGAAAATATCAAGTACATCCATATTTTATGCTATAAAAATTGTTTTTTTCAATGCCATTAAAGATTATAGGACTATTCAGATGATCTCATTGTCAGTTAAGTTGCGATAATTTGTGAATTTCTTCTAAGTTGTCAACTTCATGAGTGTAAAAGTATTTGCAACATTCTCTTATTAACTTTTTAAAATAACTGTAGGATCCGTAGTGATATCCTCTCATTCCTAATATTGGTGATTTGTATCTTCTTTCTTTTCATTTTATCAGTCTTGCTAGACGGCTATCAATTTTATTGATTTTTCCAAAGAACTAAAGGTTTTTGTTTCATTGACTTTTTTAAAGTTTTTTTTTTCTATTTTGAGTTTATAGATTTCTATTACTTTTTTATTATTTCCTTTCATCTGCTTGTGTTAGGTTTACTTGTTCTTTTTTTATAGTTTTTGAGGTATGAAATTTTATTATTTATTTCAGACCTTTTCTTATTTGTAATATAAGCATTTAGTTTTATAAATTTCCTTCTCAGCATTGCTTTAGCTACATCTCATATATTTTGATATATTATGCTTTCATTTTTTAAAAATTGAATTCTATGTATTTTTTAATTCCATTGAGACATTTTTGTTGACCTATGGATCATTTAGAAATGTATCATTTAATTTACATGGGTTGATCCTTTTATCCTTATGTAATTTCCTCATGTTATTTTTCTCTAGGAATTTGCTTTTTTTTGATGTCTACTTTATCAAATGTTAAAATGCTTTCTAAAAATTAATGTTTCATGGTATATATTTTTTCATCTTTTTACTTCCAGATTGCATCAACTCCATCCTGAAGTTCACTGATTCTTATCCTCTGTCATGTCTACTCTGTGAGTATTTTTCTTTGTTATTGTATCTTTCAGTCATATAATTTCCATTTTTTTTTGTAACTTTTATTTATTTGATAAAATTTTTTTCATTTGTTTTAAGGGAATTTGTAATTTATCTCAAAGTGTTTTTATGACAGTTGCTTTAAAACTTTTGTCAGATAATGACATCTGATTTTAGTGTTGACATTGGTTGGTTGTCTTTTTTCATTCAAGTTTTCATTTTCGTGGTTCTAGGTATGACAATTATTATTAGTTGTTGTTTGGACATTTTGTCTTATGTTAGAAGACTCAGGGATCCTATTTAGTCTTGTTTTAGTAGAAAGTCACCCTGTTTAGATTTAGCATGCAGTTCTTGGCTTAGTTTGTAGCCTTTGGTTTCATAGGAAGTTTAACATCTAAAGCCTTTGCCATGTTATTTGGTCTGTTTGATTTGCTTGATGCTGGGTCTCTGTGTGTCTCTAGGTAATAGAGGGCAGCCTGGGGCTCTAGGGAAAAAGAGGCTTTCTAAGCCAGACCTTGTTGTGACATGATCCCCTACAAGTGCCCCAGGCACCCCAGTGTCTCTGGGTGGAGAAGAGTTTTGGACTCTTGAAGACAAAGAAACATTCCAGACCTTGCTGCCTGTATGGTTGGGTCTATCTTCCTGGTTTTGCCCATCTACTCTCGTGTCCCTAGTTTGAGTTTTAGGCTCATGGTGGCTTCCCTGGCCAGGCACTTGTTCTAACAGGATCTTCCCCTGAGAGGGGACTAGAGAGTGTTTCTGGCCTGAGCCGCTTGTTGTGGTGGGATCCCTTCACAGGCGCCCTCTGGAGGGGACATGTCATAGGTCCTCGGGACATAGAGGCTTCCAGACTTCCAGAATCAGGTTGCTTGTGTGATGGATGTCTCTTGCCTAGAGAGTGTTTCTCCCCATCCATCCTTCTTGCTGATTGGGCCCAGCTCACCTTATGTTCATTCAGGTTTCATCCCAGAGAGAAATGGCCCTACCCAGGCTGTCTTGGGAGTCAGGAAATGCTGGGCCGTGATGGCCTTCTTCCACTGGGTGCTGCTGTGTTCCTTCTCCAGTCTCCAGTTCACCTTATTCTTACCAACTAGCAGAAGTCTATTCTAGTGGCCTCTTGTTATTTTCAGGATAAGGAGTGGGCACAAACAGATCTATGCTACCTTGTCTGGACCAGAAGTCCAGGTCTGTTTTATATCGAGAAAAGACAATTTAATGAAAGAAGTTGTAGAGAAAAGACTACACCAGGCATGAGGAGGTGGAAGCTGGTAGCCCTCTTTCTGTGGAAGACAGGGGCGGTTGGAGAAGCACAGCAGTTCCTCAAGTAATGTCATCTCCTTCAATGTCTTTTCATTATAACCTTGATGAGAAGCCTTGATGAGAACATACCTCTTGTTTACATGGATTAACCTGTGGTAAAACTGGTTTCATTATGCATTATTTTGCCACAGTTTCAAAAACCTATCTACAGCATTAAGCGAGGACTTACTGTACTCTAAACAATTTGCACATCCATCTCAGAGTGAGTTTGCTTCCTGTTTTATCCTATTTAAAGTCTTTTGTATTTTTCATTAATTCTCTATACAAATTGATATGTACTTATAATGATAACCATACATTTTGTTTATTTTTGTAAGCAATTGCTTTGCTTCTGACATACCTTGAAATTTAAACCCTTGAGGAAATCTCTCATAAAATTTGGATTATTATTTAGCAGTAGATGAATTGATGGAATAATAAAAGGCTATTGGTGATTACTTAATTGAGCTTATGAACTTTTATGTATGCATATGAAGAGAGATATTCATATACAATTTTATTCCCAGCCCCTTGTGGCATTCCGAGAGTTTTGATTTAATTGTTTGTAAAAGAAATTATTTTATTATGAGAGTTAAACAACTGCGATATAATTATATGTGTGAATACAGAGTCCATTAGTCCAGTGGCTTTAAAAGTGAGTGGTGCCCTCATCCCCTTGGGAAGAAAATATTAGCATCTCTATTTATTTTTATCTAATTTTCTTTTGATCTATATTTTGCATATATTTTTAATTCCATAATATTAGAATAGCAATATATGTATAAAACTTTTAAATTATATAATTTTGGGCACTGACAGTGTTCTCGTAAAGTCAAAATAGTTTGGAGATTAGTAATTAACAGAAGATTGTCAAAATTTGCTGCATAAAACAATGGAATTAGTGGCTCTGAGTCTTAGAATCGAAAATTCATGTTTAAACAGCTGAGCTAAATAAGATCTCTCAGTGCCTATTCACAGAGAGCCTTCATCGAAGAAGCCACCTTTGATCAGGCTCACCTGGATGCCATCCGGCTGGTATGGTGTGAAGTGTGGATCTCTTTTTAAAACATAATCTCTTCCATTTGTTCATGCATTGCTTTTAAGTGTCTTTCATTGCTTTATTTGCCTTTCCTATCTTCACTATCCAACTAGGTTATAATTATTGCCACAGATTTTTAAGTAGCAGAGCCTATCTGGCTGCCTACCAGGCGTTTGGGAAAGATGCTACTGGGGAATAGTGACTCCACTCTTAGAGTTTTAGTTTCAGGAGATTAGAAAGCTTTCCTTTCAAGAGTGTTTTCAATATGAATATTATCTTAGGAGTGAGCACTTTTTAATTATTTATTGGATTAGTGATTAACTGATTATTTGCTGAGAGTAAGAACAGGAAGGAACAATAAACAGGGATGGATTCAGGAGAAAGGAAGGAGAAACAGAAAGCGACAAATGTTGAAGGGGAACAGTACTTGGGCTTTGTTCAGGTTTTGTGTAGAGCTGGCACTGTAAAGACTTGGATTATTTTCATTTTACTTTATTCATCCATCCACTATGCTTTACAATGTATGTCTTATTTAAGTGTAATAAGAGACCAGTGCCTGACCATTTGTTATTATTTGGTAGTATAAATGCTTTGGTTCTGGTATTTGATAAAGTCTAATAGAGGCTCTTGTGCATACCCATCTCTGTGATTTGCTAAAGTAACTTAACATTTTTAATGATTTCTGGAACAAAGTTGATGAAATATGGGAAAATAAAGTTCAGATATATTTGGAAGAAATCTTAATTTATCTTTTCCCCTGTCTCTTTCTCTGACGTTACCATCATTTATTTACTCATCTAGCCTCATATTCTTGGATGGCTTTTTGACTCTTGTATCTACCTCATTCCCTCTATATAGTGGAGGCCTATTGCTGTTCTAAGATCTCTCACATCTTTTGCTTCTTTCCTCTAGGCAGAGCCCCTTTTGATTTTCTTTCAAAGTGTCATAATAATATTCCAACTTCTTTCTAGACCGTTTCTTTTTCTCTATAAGACCCAGACTCTCACAACCCTCCAAACCAGATTAATGTTCTATTTTCCAATTCTAGACATACTATTCTCTTACCCTAAAATTTCCCAGTTTCCTGTTGCCTTGCAGAATAAATACAAACTCTCCAAATTCGCATAAATGATGCCCCACAATACATAAACAATCCTTACAAGAGTTTTCTCCATTATTACCCTACAGTAATATGTATAGCATATCATGGGAACATAATAAGGAGAGATATTACATATCTCTTAAAAAAATAAACATTTCTTGCGTTTTCATCAAACTTGATTATTTACTGATACCTTATAATGCCATATTAACTTCTCAGTTCCTTTATGATATAAATATCATCAAATGATTCTAAATTAATTGACCGATATGCTGTCTTCCTATTTTTGCCTACATAATCCCATCAAACCTTTAAAATTCCATCATAAAACCGTCATAATCATGTCACTTCAAAAAACTTTCTTCTCACATCCAGATGTCTCCTAGCTGTTCTTTCATTCACTCTAGCACTTCGTTTAGCATGGCCTGTTTTACTAACTTTTCTCTATCATATAATATGGTAAATTTGCATGTTTATGTAACACTCTCTGTACAACTTGAGAATAAACTTCTAGAAGATAGACATTTTTCTTGCCTCTCTTACAGTCTTTTTAGTAGCCATGATATGTGATTCGCTAATCTATGAGATCAGTGCATTTCAAGGGTTTTTCATTTGTTTCTGTTTTGTAACCACAGCTATTGTTCTTGCTATAGCAGGGTTATTCCTTCATATGTAATTCTACATGGAAATCTGTGAAAGGAGGAAAGAAAAATAGACTCACCTTGGTTGGCAGGGGAGTTCTTGTTACATTTTCCCTAAATATCTTCTTTCTAGCTACCCCTTGCTGACTCTACAGAACACCTATGGCTCTGCTCAATTTTGTCTGAAAACTACAGTATTCAGTTTATATGTCATGGTCAAGCAGGGAGAGACCTTTTATTATCACCAGCTCAGTTGTTTAACTGGTCTTAAATTTGTGCTTGGAATAAACTTTGAAGAGAAGAATACATGAAGACGTATGTGGGCTAGTGGTGAACTTATGTTTCATACAATTGCATTGTTCTTTTATTGCCAAATTTCACCCCTGATAAATACCATCCTCTCTGTTGGAAATATCTAGAAATTGAAGAAAAGGAAGTCGAGTGGGTAATACAATAGAATTAGATGTTTGCAGCAATAAATGACTTAGAAAGAAAGTGCATAAAGGTTTCCCCCAGACTCTTATGCTTTTTAAAAGAAGAAAGCTGAAATATGAGAAAGCTAGCATTTTGCATGCATGCAGGAGCAAAGGAAGAGATTGATAGATTGGTTTGGGGGACAGTTCTGTTTTATTCTGAAAGGTTTGGGTCATCATAGCTAGAAGCAGGAGCAGGACTCAAACAAAAATAATTTTGGCAATAAGGGAAGAGATTGGTTTTGATAGACAATGTTTCTATACAAGGGGGAAAGAATTCTTTAAATGGCAGGAGAAAATGGCCTTGAAATATGATATGAAGAGTTGCCAAGTTCTGCTCATCTCTAGAACTATTGCAAGTCAATTATTAAGGGCAAAGAATACTCCTAATATAAAGGGACATTTTGTACAAGAAGGAGAGAAGAGGAAATGGGAGGTAAAAGTG